GGGAATGCATTTTGTAACTCGATTTCATGCAATATTTGCCATAAATGTTTCAAGCACATCTCATCAAAACGTAGGGACACACACCTAGAGCAGGCTAGATGGATTGTCTCACTCTCTCGCAACGCTCTAGTCGTTGTTATCGGCAGAGTCATAACATACATCAATTTCACATCATCGATATGGAATTTAAATTAAATTGAATTATGAAATTGAATTTAAAATGTATATAAACTTTCCGAGGGGTGGGGGAGGGGGTGAGTAAAATATATACTGTAAGCTCTAAACTTTTCGAACGAGTTTAGAGTCAAGTTTTTGTAACTTGAAGGGGAATGTTCATTAACTGTCTGAAGGCGAGTCATGTCTCATGAAAAATACTGCAGACAATTAACAACAAACGATTATCCACAATCAAAATCCTGCAATTGAGAAATTATTCATTGGTAATTAAGAAAAATGAAGAGTGAAATAGGTTATATCAAGATACGCGATAGCGTATCTGCCAAGTTGACGTCACAGGCAGAGAGCTGTCGTGTATTATATTACAGCTAACAACTCGCCCCTAACCCCTTAAAAAAACTTCAATTGCTTTTTTCCCCTTTAAACGCACGCTATTTTGCAAAAGTATCCTTAGATACATTATATAAATCGCGGTTGATCTTTCTGATGAGATTTTTACTTTTTTTCACTTATTACATTATTACAAAAATAACTCCATAGCAACGGATACGAATTCACTTTTTCAAGAGTTTTATTTCGAGAGCGTTACTATTCCCTAGCGCTGTTTGGGTGGGCTGTTCTAGGGAATAAAACTAGTAAGTTAGAGGAAATTGTCTGCGCTTACGGAATTCATCCGCACGGGTCCGTAGCGGTGGCGCATGAACTAGGATGGAGCCCGTGCTTGTAAGCAAATCAAAGAGCGTCAAGTCATTTAATATTTGTTACTTACCCTTTAACAATTGGAATCGATTGTTAATAATTTAATGATTTGAATATAACAACCAAATTAAACATTTTAGTTCAGTTAAAATTAATTACCTATATATCCTAATATTTGTGAATTACTCTTTAACAATTGGAATCGATTGTTAATAATTTAATGATTTGAATATAACAACCAAATTAAAAATTTTAGTTCAGTTAAAATTAATTACCTAAATAACCTAATATTTGTGAATTACTCTTTAACAATTGGAATCGATTGTTGATAATTTAATGCTTTGAATATAACAAATTAAAAATTTTAGTTCAGTTAATTATTCAATATTCACAATTCGAGAATTTTAATCATAAATTAATTACCTAAATAACCTAATATTTGCGAATTACGATTCAACAATTGGAATCGAGTGTTAATATATGAATTAAAATATTACCTCCAAATTTTGATTTTTTATGTGATATTTTTCAATAATCAACTTGAATGACTGAATAAAAACTAAAACATGAATATTTAAATTATATTTCGTTGAGGAAAATTACTATGATGAACTAACACATGTCAGAGAAGCTTAAATCAGGTACCAATACTTTTGATTGCATCATTTGTTTGGTAATTATTAACATAAAAAAAAATTCATAAAAAAATGTTGTGAATAAATGGCGCCAAGTCGACGCTAATTTAAACACAAGATAGAAGCATGGGACAATAACTGCATGGATGAAATCACACAATTTTTAAAAAAACCCCGTCCATAGGAAATTGATTCGGAAAAAAGTCAACTTGGCGCGCCGGGCTGTTCGATAATGAACATACTTCGTAGGAAGTGAATGATTGACAAAGCTAGAGTTCGCACGCTAATTGGCAAAACGCCAAAACTATTGAGATTTGATTCAGCTTATTATATCAACAATTGCATTCCGTATACCTGACGTGTACTTAACCTATTCACCAATGAACGTCAAATATCATACCGGTATGAGGAGAGTGGGTACCCGTCAGTGTGATGGCCAAGTTGACTTTTTTTCCGAATCAATTTCCTATGGACGGGGTTTGAAACAGTATATTTTGTCATTAGGCCGAAAAAAAATTTTCTAGCGAAGATGAGGTTTGCAACAATCATATTGGTCGACAAATTTTTTTTGTCCGTATGACGCCCACTATTTTTTGTCATAACAGCCGTAGTCAGCATTTCGTGGACGCGAAGCAAAGCAACGCAGCCGTAAAACACTGTCTTACAGCCAGACTGACAAAAGCCTTTATTAACAATAATCGATTTTCCAATCGGAACTAAAACTGCGGAAAATTGTCCTAGTTGACGCTGTCAGCATAAACTTGGCATTTTTTAATATTTCCATGTTTTTTTTTAAAATAAGATTATATCATAATCAGTTCGCCTACTGTGTGATTTCAACTATTCAGTAATTGTCCCTTGTTTCTGTCTTGGAGGCGATCAGATTCACGTCGACTTGGTGCCATTTTTTCACAAAATTTTTTTGTGATTTTTTAAATTTTTTCTATGTACGTGGCGGAAAACTCGACATGAAAGGCATTTATTCGCGAATTTAAAATAACTGTACTTACCAATTAATTTTTCCGAAATTTCCAACAGGTTTCACTTTCGTAGAACTTCAACTATTTCTGTTTATTATGTCACTATTCATTCAATTTTATTTAATGATTCGCGTGCCGGCTGGCGTGCACTACATGGGGCGTTGAGTCAACTACGATTCGGTAAATATCACCAAATCATCGGTTACGTCAAACGGTCTTCGGTTCGCGTCAACTAAAAACCCTAGTTCACGCGATTGTGTTTTTACTGATATTAACTTTTAATTATTTTAATTCAATGGAATGCGTATCGAATCCAATAGAAATGTGAAATTGAATTAAATACTGGAAAAATCGGCTAGTAGTTGAATGACATAATATTGTGGTATTTGTTAACGAATGCCCGATTCCGATGAACCAATAAGTAAAAAATCCTCATCCGAATCCGTTAGATAAATATAACTAGATCCTTCTATTAATGTGCAAAATCATTTTTTTAAATATACTTGTGATTATGGGATGATTTCCAATGCGATTTATGAACAGTGCAACTATTCGACATCAGTTCATAAATTTTTGGATGTTTTTCGTGGAAAAAAATATCACCCATATGCAATTATTTTCAGTAACCCAGATGCTGAAATGAGGGCCCTTTAATACATAAGAGTAAAGAAAAACTGAATGAAAGAAAAGATTACGGAAATTTGATGATTTTTCAATTCAACATTACATGAATTGGACAGTCAATGGGATAGGATATCTTTCGCTTCATTTTTTCTGAGGCTGATCGATTTTATCGATTGTATCGATAGTATCAAACATTCTGGTAGTCCAATATTTCATTTGTTGTATGTGTGATAAAACATGGATAAAATTGATCAAAACGATTTGTCGTTTGTGGGTTCAGCGGAGCAGATTTCTGTAAGTATGCTAATTTGATTTTCAAAATTATTATTCAATTAATTCCAGTTTAAAACGGTTAACACTAATCGTGTTTCAAAACGTACACAAAGGACAATAGTTATGAGATTAGTTATCTATCAAATATCGTTAGTTGCCAGAGATTCTGCAATAATTGAAATGATATTATTATTATTTTATTTTGATGATATCTGATTTTTCCAGTATCTCTGAAGTATGGATGAGGCTAGCCGGGAGGGTAAGTATTAAAAAATTGGAGAATCAATTGCGTATCAGCCATTTTTTTCTTATGAAATATCAGAAACGGTGCCTTTTTTCGACAATTTAGAGAGACAACTAAAGACCCACTAAGTAGGGTTGGCAGATGGGGATTTTTGTCGCATTGATTGATTGATTAAAGTTTATTACTGTACATTATATTGTGCAAAACAGAAGACGATGAAATCCAAGAGAAGCTCGCAGATTTTCAGAATAAAGTTGTAAGAAAGCGTCGCAAAAATTAAGCAAAAATATTGAGACACGCCCCTTAACACTGGCAAAAAAAGCCGGTTAAAGACAGATAGAGAGACTTATAGGTCATCCAGCCAACGCCGAGACGGTAAGGGGTGATGTGCTCCTGCCTCCTCACCTCAAAGAAGTATCTAATCCCCATGTTGATGAGGCGTTGAATCTTGGCAGACATCTCTTCTGAAAAACACCCATATGTAAGGCAGCAGTAATCCACGAGAGGGAACACGCAGAGTGGGACTCGCACGGAAGGACTTCTGTCATCACAGCCACATGCTGCCTCCAAGATAGCACTATCGAGCAGCTCATCCAGACCACGAATAGAAGAATCAAACTTGATATTGGCTCCTCGAACGTCAGTTGACAGATCAGACAGAGAGTGGACGTCATTAACATAGAAATCAGACCCGAAAATGATAGGCTATCATTTTAGTTTCAGCAACAGCAAGCCGCAGAGAGTTACGGAAGCCCAGTCCATGACGCAGCGACGGACTCGCTCATTATATGGGTAGCATTCTCCAACTCATCTGGTAGGAAGCACAATAGGGGGCCAAGAAGTAACCCGTGCGGTACCCGCTTGTTGAATGGACGAGCGGCGAACCTACTACGCGTACCTCCTACTGTAGACTGCGGGCCGCAGAGATACAGCGCTATCCACCTAATAGCTATTTGAGAGAACCCGTAACCGCTCAGCTTATTCAGAAGGAGAATATTCGGTGAAACTTTGCTGAAGTTAAGTGGGAGAAACATAGTCGGCGGTCATTTATCAGTGACAGTGCGTATATCATTTGACAGTTTGAGTACAGCACTCTGAGTGCCATTACGGTGGCGGGAACCGGTCTGCAGTGAATCCGGTATCGAGCGCTCGGCAACATATCCAAAAAGAAGGAAGCGAGTCTCTCCAAGACCTTGGAAAGGAAGCACAATAAGGCAAATGACTTGCAGTCATTCACTACAGACGGGTTTTTAATCTTACCAACCACAACGAAACAGTATTTCTTCCATCCTGAAGGAAGAAAAGCCATAAAAATAAAATGTTGTAAATCTGGACTAAAAATCCTGTCAGAGAAGGCAGAGAAGCGGTGATCACCGACTTCGGGATCCCATCAGACCCCTTAGTCTCGGAAGAGAAATCCCTATTGGCATCGATTACCTCCTTCGCAGTAACCGGAAATTTCGATCACATCTGTAGAGCGCATAACCATCAAGGGTCATCATCAACAAGGGAACAAAGTCTCCATCATGGCGATGACTTGGAACCAAGGACGAGTATTGAGAAAATGCTTGACTTTCTCTATATACAGATACGTAAACCATTCCTGTGGCGAGCTGTGCAGTTTTCTGCGACGTGAGGATAAGCTCATGGGCCAGATCACCAGACGACAGAGTGACAAAAAGAATAGCCATCTTTCCCACATCTCTAGCAGTGTCTGACCCTAGTGAGGATTCAGCAACATTAGCCGTAGCAGAAATAGGAGTAGCCGATACTCGTTCAGGGTGAAGAGGACGAACGGTCACAATATCACCATAGACTACGGTGGGCCACACGACTCCTAAAACCGCAAGAGAAAGTGCTCTACGGTCAGCTCCCGCGGGTGAACAGACTCCCAACATGAGGAGATCAGGAAAGAGCACAGTCTTCTCCGCATTAGTGTTGGCAATACAGTTACAAGCTCTCTCATCGAGTTGTTAGCAGTGCCCACTCTGGCTGCTATAGCAACAGATATTTTCCCAGCTGCTCCACCAATGCTGATGTCAGTCACCGCATCACGCAGTGACCGATGCTCAGTTTCAAGCAACCAGACATGCTCCCGATTCCGCCACATCATCCTCCACTGTGTCGATGCGCTGAACAAGGGCTGAAGGCCTGTCAACTGCTGTCAGCCTCGCCGTAACTTCAGCTGGAAATTTTGCCATCCTTGTCTCCGTATTTTCTTCATACGTCCTCGAGCATGCATCCATAGCTTCCAGTTGGGCTAGGATTGCAGCCACAATACCGTTCCAGAACAATTCATTATTCGCAGTAGGGGTACTATTTGATAGAACGATTGAAGCAAAATCTGCTGATAGTACTGGCCGGGCTCCACACGTCGGTTACAATAGAGCGCATGCAACGAGTATGCAAGAAAACGACCCAAAGCAGAAAAAATCAAAATAACCGGAGACGAAACAATGTTGTGTACACTACTTATGGACATGCGCAGAAGATGAGATGAAGAAATACCAACTACATAATTTGAACAGTGACAACCATTTGCGTCATCGACTTTACTTGATTGCTTGTGACTCAACAGGGTGGCCCCCCCCCCCCCCCCTCCCCCTTAATTTTAGGTTGAAGTTTGGACGTTGGGTTTTGGGACACCCTGTATTTAATCAAAAAAACCAACATCTGGCAACTCTGCGACTAAGCTAGTTTCATTTTATATTGACTGAAAAGAGAAGTTTATGAATTCGAATCGACTCCAATGAAATACTCAAATCTCATCAATTTTCTACAGAAGGCGTTGAATTTTTTTTTAAAAGCATTGTTTATATTTTTCATACTTTTTTTCAATATTAATATACTTTTATAGACAGTGCAGAAGAGCTGAGAATGAGATTGGAAGATCTGGAAGAGCAGCACCAGAAGATGGAGACAGAGCTTCGCAAATTGAGAGAGCTGCAGAAGCACCATGCTGACGATGGAGATGGTGCGAGCGGGACTCAGGACGAAGAAAATGAGGAGAAGGGGCATAACACAATGGATGAGGATGGGAATAGTGGGGATTTGAAAAATGGAGAGGGTAAATCATGAAATTCACTTGATCCGGGAACGTTATTTTAGGAATGAAAAAGTGGACAAAATCAACGTTCTCAATATTTTTTATACTATCTGTCGCATTCAGAATCACTAGCTTACTGGTGTATAACTTTGTTGCAATGGAATTTGGAAAAATTTTGGAATAATGTTTAGATTTTTCCGCCGCACTGAATACTATACTTTGCCACTGTGCTCAAATATGATATTTTGGCCCTGCGGAACAAAGAAAAAACGATTTCTGGTGAATACGAGGTTGCGTGACGAGCCGCTTACATTATATACGGATGATTCGAGTTCACGAAAAGTAGCAATCATGCGGTAGCTTCGTGGTAATAGGTACAAATAGTGAGGCTAGGAGTGTACCTGTAAATGCTGCGGAAGACAGCCAATATTGAAGCTGACTCTTTATTTTTCCCTCCTATAAATTCGATTAGAGGTGAAGAAATGCATATCACGTGAATCATATGAGTGATGAAATAAAAATTGGTTTGGGTATTTCTACTATCTCATTTCAAAATGTCCCAAAAGTTCAAGGTGGATTAATAATGGAATAGTAAATTGGGATGTAGTTCAATGTTCACGTTTGGACCAATACGAGCCAAGCTCAGTTACTTTTGGTCCTAAAGTGGGGCGAACGCGAGTTCAAAGAGTCGTTAACCACCTTTGTGGCAACAAACATCGAGCGATACTGCGTCGAATATCATTTTACTAGTGAATATGAAAGTAGAACTTACCTGTGACCTGTCTTGATACCTATTACCCACCAGAAAATCATTTTTCTTCGCAGCGGCCAAATACACTCTTTCAAAAGTTTCTATTAAATAATTTATGAGTTGCTTAAAAAATAAAAAGCAACAACAATACGAATGTTTCAAAACAATTTCGTAGAAAAAACGTTCAATGTCTTCAATCAACTTTGATTCTTTGATGAATATACCCGATTTCTTGTTTTCGACCTTCCTTATTTGTCTTCAGATTCATGTCCCGAAAGAACGTTCTCGGTATGTCATTCTTACTTCTGTTCTGGTTTTTGCTTCTCGATTCAAGTAACTTTATTCCGTACTAGTTTGGTTTTACTCTTTCAGGAAACTCACGTCGTCGTCGGGGAAAAAATGGGGGGCGCAAGCGACGCGAATGGTGGCTGAAGAGTGGTGGATTTACTCTGGACGGAAACCGTGGTCTTCGTGACAATCCCGGAGGTCGGAGCAACCATGGAGGTTGGGGCAACCGTGGAGGTTGGGGCGACCGTGGAGGTCGGGGCAACCGTGGAGGTCGGGGCAGCCGTGGCGCTCGGGGCAACCGTGGAGGTCGGGGCAACCGTGGCGGTCGGGGCAAACGTGGAGGGAATGCGAACATGTGGAGGAGTGTATTTATACACAAATTTTACCAAAATTGACGAAAAGCTAAATAAATATTGTTCATGTCTACATGTACGTGTCCATTTTTTTATAATTGAAATTGATTTATTCATACTGCGATATATAATCTATTCGGCCTTTAACATTTTTGAAAGATCAGGATTATACACAGATTAAAGTAACATGAGTAGATTTGAGTATTGGATAAATTTCAGTCCCTCAGACTGCACATGTATGTATGTTTTATAGTATTAAATAATAATTACAAGCATTGAGTTCATATAAAAAATGAAAACAAAAAAATGAGAGCGCTACTAGAAAAAAAAATTGTTCTGAGAAATCTTCTCTCTTCGTCTTATTGGCGACCAATAGTTGCTCATCAGGCGTAGTCACCATTCCCCGCTTATCCGCTGCTAGTCATATACAAACTGCAAACCTGTCAGCTGCTCAACTCCTCCTGACTACCTCTGTGACGATGTGTGGCTAACTCAAATAGCACATCCAGATTTTATACCCACGAGTCTCACGCCCGTTGGTTAGTACCAAGGCTACTATTGAAACCGTCCTTTCCCAACTAATATAATTTTTCTCCTTCCGTTATAATCCGTAGTTCTACTGACGATATTAGCAGGCCGAATTGTATGCCAGAATAGAAGTAGACCAGGATTTTTCCTTCAGGGTTTTGAGAGTAGTCCGCCTGATTTTGCAGCATAGTAGACTGCACATTTTTGTCTACGTGGAGTCCCAGGCGATCCGCTTTATAGGCTTTCCTGACTCTCACCAAAATTCCTGCTAAAAGTCTGCCTCTCAAATGAACCCGAGTTACTGCCTTTACCCTCCAGACATAGTTTCTGTTTAGTCTCTGCTGTCACCTTTTTGTGTTCTTTTCCTCTACTCAGGTCCCTGCAGCAGCACCAAATCCAACTCACTAAGATACCTCCAGGCAGATGTTTTTCATGCCTACAAAGTTCTACGAACAGTCCACAAACAGGCTGCCTCAGTGGATGTTGCTTGAAGTTGCCCCTATTCTCATCGCGGACTTGGACCTTTTCGCTGCTGCTAGTGAGCTTGGCGTAACCTACTCTTGTGAAAAACTCTACCTGACGTTCGTTTTTTATCTCCGCTTCCCTAGCAATGAGATTCGCGTCCAGCCATAAGTCGTGTTCGGCTAGCGTTCGCAGGATTCTCTGTTTGTTCTTGATATCCATTTTTTACATCGAGTTCTTAGCCTGATAACCATTACCCCCTCCGCCACCAACGTTCGTTTCCCGTCGGGTGGGATATTTGTTGTCTGTTTAATGATATCGTAAACTTAATTTCGATTAAATATAGGTTCTCCCTTGGCTCAACGCTGTGTCACTCTCGTACCATGATATGCTGTTTTCTGAGCGTCCTTGCTGGTCAATGACCCAAGTCAAGCCATATTGGATTCTACGTAGTTATAATGCTCAGACTGCGATTGGGCGCCTACCCTATCTCCGCTCTCGCTGCACTTCCTTCGAGGTGGTCTCTCAGGTAAAGACTTCTGCATTGATGTGGAACTTCTGTCTAGTTACGTCTGCACGAGCCTCCCAGGCATCAATCCACCTCCCTAAGCTTTGTCTCAGTCTCAAATCCAGCCTATCGTGCGATAGGTCCCTCTGCATGGCCCATGTCTAAAGACAGAATTTCTCCAATGCCTGCACTGTTTGAATTTCTTAGCCATCTATCCACCTTCCAAGGTCTTTCTGTAGTTTTTACTTCAATTTCTCCTTTTCCAATGCTTGCCTCTCAGGACCCCCCTTAGAATTCCCAGACATGGTACGCGATACTTCTTCAATTGAAGAAGGCTATTCCTGAATGGTTTTGCAGAGTTTGATTATGATGCGATGGTCCACCCAGGCAGTTTGTGATATCGGGTCCATGATACCGGAGAAACATTCATCGTATCAGACCCATGTCTTCAATCACATGGAACGAACAAATCCAAAATCTCAAAATTGCAATAACAAATGACTAATATTACGTTCAACAATTGCACAATCCATAACGTAATAATGCACAAGCATAATAATAAAGAAAATCAAAGTCCACAGTGATAAATAAGAGATTAATATTGTTTATCAATTTATTGTAATGTCCAAAAGAATTTGGGGCAAACGCTGAATTGCTTAACGTTTAAAAAAAAAGTGTGTACCGGCGAACAGTCAGCTGTTACGCCAAGCGGTCTGATGAGAAATGGGCCGTGGGAACGGCAGAGCCGGCAGGGCCAGCAACAAGTGGAACGCTGGCAGCGCTAAAAGCGCTGAACCAACAAACTGCCCCACCCGCGAGAATTTAAACGAGATCAGGTCAAATCACTCCACCAATGAAAAACCGAGCCAAAAACCAACTCCAACGCGATCAACTCCCAAAAATTGATTGGTAAAGTTAGTCTGGAAGCATACGCGTAGTTGCTAAAACCTTGGTGGAGTGATACCGGGACTTGATCTGAAAAACTAATCCTTCCCATACAACCTCTTATTGAAACTATTAAGCTTGTGCGTGGTAACTCATCGAAAACTTAGTAGATGACTATCGGATTTGGTCAATCAGGGAAAATCTTCCTAACTTCAGGCTCGCGGTACCTCATACAGATAAGAGGTTTTACAATTTGTGCTGTGTGGACATTCTCATTATGAGGGACTTAATTAAGCCTAAATTATATAACATAAACATTTCCAAAACACGAACACATAAATTAAATTCAAGTGGGTGAACGTTCCTGACTGGTCGAGTAGTTATAATAGAGTTAAACCTATCTAACACTGGTAACGAAAGAAAGCAGGAAGACCGAGGGACCTACCATAAAAAGAAAAAGGAACCAGATAACCTTGGGACCAACAGAATACAAGTATTGCGTGAGTACGCTTCAATTAAACAAGGAAAAGAAGTGTCTTAGATTTAAAGAAAGATTCCAGGGGAAACCTTTAAACGCAAAATTATTGAAATACATTTACTTCCTTTCTGTAACTTTTCTTGTAAGCATTTACTTTTAAATAAATAAATGTACCAGATTTTCAGAACAAGAACAGCGTCAAAAATACCCTAGTTGCCCTTAGCATCCTTGACTCTTGTCCTTTCAGTTACTTCTTTCAAAAGAGTAAAAATAGAATAACAACAGAAAAGAGCAGAATCCAAAACCCTCAACAACAATTTTAGCTATTTTAGACATAACATTATATTGTTTATAAAACATGTTAAATATTCCAAATACAGAAAGACTTTATTTAAATTATCAATTTATACTTTTTCATCACTCATTTCGTCGATAATATTCATATTTTTCGTCATTAATTGATGTTGTCAACTTCGAATCAAAATCGATTCTCAATCATGATTTTACATGAGTACTTTTGACAATTCAATACAATGTCTTATAGGTTAAACAACTAGCACGGGCACACAACGTGTTATGATTTTATATTTTAGTGAAACGTTGTACAGGGGTAATTTTCTTTAACGAACTTTCCACATCGCTGGGGGAAAAAATTGGATATGCATCACGAGAGGGAAGAAGATCCTCACCAGACGCCTCTTTGCATACATAACGCGTGTGCGAAGGACTTTCTTTCCACTCCAGATGCACAATATGCTATTCTGCATTCTCCCCCTGACATTTTTCTCCCAGTCTCTTGTGAGCTGGTTCTCCCCTACTCTTTCTCTAAATTTCCTTATGTGATGGTCATTAAAAAAAAACTGTCACAGAGACCCTAAAAAATTTGATAAAAAATACACTACCCTCGAAGAGAACAATCGCGTTCATCGCTACTTCACGGTATCCCTTTGAGCTTCTATATTTTATTGTCTTCTCTTATCTGCATTGCCATGACCAACTCATTCTTTTCCCGATTGTACTCATTCAGACTAGGGTTGCCGAAAACCATAAAAAACTTCATTCGTACAGCCCGCCAATATTATCGGAATTCGAATGTACCCATAATTCTCACTGACTAAGTGGGCACAGTATGTCTAAACATTGATGCCTAGCATCACTAATTGTTCAATATGAATAATTAAATGATTAAGTTGTATTCTATCGAAAAACAATAAAAATTTTTTAATACAATCCTTTCTCTATGGAATCATTAGATTGAAATATATTCATACTCCTTGCAGATTCACTTTCAAGTTCAGTAAGACCCGTAAAAATGCCCCATCATCGGCCAAATGCACCATTTTCTAAGAGGACTAGAAGTCGCTCTATTAGGAAGATGCGCACCATGTCCTACTTGAAAGACTGCTACGAGAGCGAAAAAGTAATAATGAATGTGAATGACAATGAAAGTTCGAGCGATGGAGGATCTATGAATAATGATAAAATTGACGGAGAAATGAGAGATAATCGTGGGAACGCAGATTCCGAGTGGTCGTCTGATGACAATTTGAGGTCAGATCCTCGAATCTCAGATTCCGTAAACGAAGATTACTTTGATGCTGCAGATGCGTTTGATTTTTCGGAAGATGGGAAGTCGCAGTGTAATCTGCCTCAAGTTGACATAGATTCGGACAATAGTCACAGCTCGCAGGAGGATCAGCAGTTCGAGCTGTCTGATTCGGAGGAAGATTCTCAGCATGGACCATATGAAGAGTTCTTTCATGATCAAAAACCCTTGTATCATGGTGTCTCCATCACTATTGCAGAGAGCATCATAATGATTCTGCAATTTATCTTGAGACACAACTTATCAGATTCAGCTTTGATCGATGTATTGCTCCTCATTTCTGCACATTGTCCAGCGAACAACAACTGTGTCAAGACCCTTTATTTCTTTCGAAAATGGCTCAAGAATTCAAATTATAAAATTGTAAAACATTTCTATTGCTCTAGATGCAATGAGCCTATAGGTGATGCAGACGAAAAATGTTGCTCTGATAGTACAACGTCTTACTTCATTGAAATTCCACTTATCCCTCAACTGTCAGATCTTTTCAAACGCCCTGGATATTTCAATAGTTTATCACATCGCTTCAATAGAAATAAAGAGAATGCAGCTAATTTGGAAGATATATACGATGGAGATATATACAAAAGTTATTGTGAACATGCAGGGGGAGTAGACTTGAAATCTCAGTCCAATATATCTTTTATGTGGAATTCGGATGGAGTTCCACTGTTCAAATCATCGAATTTCAGCATTTGGCCATTCTTCCTCAAAGTCAATGAACTCTCTCCTACGGAACGCAACAAACCAAAAAATATCATCATGGCTGGATTGTGGTTTGGAACAGGAAAGCCAAACACGAATCAATTCATGGAACCATTGATAAAGCCTTTGAGACATTTATATCGTGGTGTTTCGCTGTACGTTCATGACTAAGGGAAATACATAATTGTCAAAGCTGTAACTATATGCGGTACATGCGACTTGCCGACCAAAGCAATTTTCCTGAACATGGTCCAATTCAATGGGAAATTCGGTTGTCATAAATGTCTGGTTAGTACAATGAAAATTTCCACTCATCGAGTTTATACACAAGTGACGGATTCGGTACAGCGAACATTGAAACAAACAAAACTATACGCACAAGAGGCAGCAAATCGAGGAAAATCCATCTATGGTGTTAAAGGACCAACCGTTCTTTCGCTAATTATGAAAGATTATATTCGATCAACGGTTATTGATTCGATGCACGTGGTATCAGGGATTTCGAGAATGCTCTTAAATGTGTGGTTTGGAAAAGACCACCGACAT